TATATTATTGGCTCCAGGAATTCATGCGCAAATTAAGTCTAAAATCATTCAACAGGGTTTATTAAAATAATTTCTTTCCTATTTGGATGATTGCGCTCTAAATAACGACATAATTTTTTTGTATTTGAAAATTTGAATCACCAATATTGCGGAGCCACCTTACGAGAAGTTAAGACATTTAACTTCTCGATGTGTTTTTGAATTTTATATTCAGGTGGAAGAAGTTTCTCTTCAAAAGCTCTTTGGCGTCGCAATTATTTTCGATTTCCAAGAGAAGCTGTAATTTAATAAGGTCGATCATTTAATATCATCACCTGATCCCGGGTCAAGCACCCTGGGTTTTAAGAAATTAGGACTCGTGACATAAAATGATAGTCCCGACTCGAATTTTTTCTCAAGTCGGGTCAAATGACCCGTGTCGATTCGACCGGCTCGGAGCACTAATTGACGAATGGTGATCTGGACGATCGCGATTCACCATTTCTCTGATTTCTCCAATTTCACTAATTTCTTAGCGATCTCTAATTTCTCATATTACTTTAATATATTTAATTTCTCTATTTTATTATATTTCTTATATTTCTTTACTTTCTTTAATATCTATTTCATATTGATGTATTTTATATAAATATCTTGTATCTTTGCCTCGATAAAAGGGCAGAGTCGCTACAATTCTCTCATTCTTCTTTAAATCTATATCGATAAAGACGACCTGACCCTTCAATTTAAATTTAATCGTGTTTATTTCTTCCATAGTTTAGACGCACTTAAAACTCCCTGCTAGCAAATAATCTTTGTTAACTTAACGACGAACAGTTTAAGCTTAACACCGTTTTTGAGATGACAATTTGGTATTTTGGTTTTATTAATAGATTCCATAAATTCAATCCAATCACCATAAATTCGAGTATTTCGAATATTTCGAATCACAATTTGACGACGATTGGTAAAAAAAGTTAAGAATTGTCGAATAAATATTTGGAATAACTACTATAAACACTAACTAAGAACCTGCACCACAAATTTAATTGTAATGTAATCGTAAAAAATTCGTCATTACAAAATGATTGGACTTAAAAAGTTTACAACTTTATTTCTTCCGTTAAATTAACATTCAATTTAATTATTTTATCATAATCACATTCAATTGCTTAAAACCACATTCAAAAAATTATCGAGTTGAGTCAATCACAATAAATACTAAATTTATTTATATTAGAGTTAGTTTAAAATTGTAAATACTAGTAAAATATGAAACAACCATTAAGAAAATTAAATGAGATTATGAAATAATAAAGGTTCGATTTGAGAAAATGCAATAAATACATGCAATCCTTTGATTTCGTGATTTTTTGTTTTGAATGTGAATTTTAACATTAGTGTTCATTCATTTCTCCTTTCAAATTCAAAAGAACATAAGCGTATATGTGCATTCAAAAGAAATTTTCGCTATTTTTCACTTTTTTTTAAAAAACAAAAAAACTATATAGAACAAAATTTGGATTTCCCCTTTTCTACTAACTGCCTCCCATATGTATATTATTTTCTATAGAGATGATGCGTGGTTAAAAAAAAAATCGATTCTGTATCAGCAAATTAAACTTCTTTTTGTTGTTTAAATATAAGATCTTTCTTTTACCATAGAGGCATATTTTAATAAAAAAAAAAAATCTTTTTTTACTACTATTTTTCGTTAAAATAACTAAGAAAAAAAAAATACTAGAATTTCATTCTTTCATATGTATTTTTATTTATAAAATCCATACTAAATATCATATTCCAATGTTCTTGTTTTATAAGATTCATCTTCCAGTAATTTAATTTTTTTACTGCCATTATCTATAAATCATACAGATACATTCAATTGATTAATAAATATTGATTTTTGAATCGTATAAATTTATTGATATTTTATTAGACCGTCATTACCTTCAAATTTTTCGCTTTCAAACTTTCGTTTATCTTTATTTTTTTTTAAAAAAAGGAAAGATTATCAATATTTTTAGCATATTCAAAATGTGTAATTTAACTGGTTGTAAATTAAAATTTTATTTTAATTACCAAATTCCGAAGAAATAGATTGACTTCGTAAACTTCTAACGGATTCTGCGGATTTCATCATGCTATTTAAAGATCTACTCTTATAAAAAGCACCCGGATTGTTTGTTGTTATAGGTCCAATTTCTGATGATTCTACAATAGCTATTTGATTTTTATATTTAATATTTCTAATTCCACTTATATTATTCCAAATGCTGAAAGCTGTTGGCCTTTTATTTTGATCAGGGTCCCAGCATTCTTTCATTAGCTCAATATAGCCTTCAGGTGCTACAATATCAACTGTTGGAGGACGTAAGCCATCACAAATATCAATAATCAGCTCAATATCATGAGCACGATCCCAAAAAGGTCTTCTTCCTGTCATATATTCCCACATAATCATACCAAAACTATAAATATCTGATGCTGTAGTATATTTTTGCCCTTGAAGAACCTCTGGGGCCATATAAGGAATAATTCCATAAGTGTCATTAACGTCAGCTTCAGTAGCAGATTTACTTAATCCTAAATCACCTATTTTAATGCGGTTATATATTGATACGTTTTTGTCGTTTATCAAAATATTTCCACTATGCAAATCACGGTGGATAATATTCGTTTTATGAATAGCTGATAGTCCTTCTGCAATATCATATAAATGATCTAACTTTGTATCCCAACTAACATTAAAAAAATCATTAGCTATATAATGGAATAGATCTCCTGTTTCACAATAATCCATAATTATCACAAATTCTTTAGTATTAGGATCTCGCGTAATTCCATAATACTCATTAATAATGTTGCTGTTTACTTTAAATTGATAAGATATTTTAAGCTGAAAAAAGATTATTAATTTAGTATGTATCATAATAAATAAAAAAAGGAAAATTTATATATACCTCGCTTAACTCCTTAGAAGTAAAGTTATTAGAATTGTTAAGTTTCTTTAGAGCAACTTCTTTATTAGATATGCGACCATATTTTTTTTCTCTATAATTCCAATAATTTATTGGACCATCAATCCAAATAGCTTTATAAACTTTACTAAATCCTCCCTCTCCAATAAATTCTATATTTTTGAATTGATCATATCGAACAAACTCCATTATACCTATATCGAATAGACTAAAAGTAATATGAGTATATTTGATAAAATCGTCAATAATTTTGTTTCCGCTTGGATTAAATATTGTACTTGATTTATAACAAGTACCGCAAAGATTATTATTTTCTTCAGATGGTTTATTACATCCAATGCATTTATTATGTAAAGGTTTAAGTTCATTTGAAATTAAAAAGTCGATTTTATGTTTAAAATTTATTAGTTGACATTGATTCATGATTATTTTTGCAAATCGTCTCAGGCATCCAAAGTCACCTATATATATACTTTATTTTCTCAACGTTTCTGAACATTTCGTAAATTTCTCAAAGGAAATTCCGAATTTAAAAAAGAATTCCATCAATTTCTTCGAACTTCTAAAAAGAAATGTAAAGTATATCATATCAGGCAATGATATTCCTATTTTAATCACTATTTTCACTATTTTTTGATATGCACCCAGAACTAAAATAAATTCCTAGCGAAAAAAATAGAATTTTAATTGTCTTACTAAATTGATTGATTTCTATAGTGTTATAAAATATTGGGAGTTTTGTTATCCTATAAATCTATATAAAGCTTACCAAGTGAGCATTGTTAAAACCGATCCTCTCTAATTAAAGAATTAACAAATTATATTTTAATTTGAAAAAAGTTAACCTTTTCAAATTTTCTTCTATTTCATCATTTGTGAAAAACAAATTTACTATTTAAATACAACGTAACTCTGCAGATATGGTAGGTATGTATCAAACGTTAGCAATTTATTGAATAAAAATCTTTACAGGCAAGAAAAGAGTAGAAGAAGCTTGTCATAAAACATATTTGAAAGCTCGAGATCAATAGAAAGACAACGAAAATGTCATTTAATCAACTCAATTTATACAAAGGAATGATTATTTAATAATTGTTAAAAAGCGAAATTATGACATTAACTTTAGTCCAAAGTGTAATATACACAAAGTGTAAATTTTTGTCTGCGGCTCAAAATTTGAGTCGATACGTGATTGGTCTTTTACGTTACATTGGGGTGTTCGATGTAAATCAAAACTATATACAGTCGTCCCTCTCTATAGTCACCCCCTGTACAATCACATCATATAAATCCCTCATTATAAGCACACATTTCGTAAGAACCAATACCT